TATATAAAATCTGTTAGCTGCCTTTCTGGGCGAATTAGCTGTGTTTTACAAAATCCACTCTCAAATTCCTCTGTACACAATCAGCATTTCATCACTACAAAAATAAAGGAAGATTTAAACCAAGAAAATAAAGCAGCTCTATCTTCAATTTTGGTCTTAGTTACAAAAACATCTTACAAAGCTTTGCCCTGATACACCATTAAGTGTCCCCACAGATTTGGAATAGTATTTCCATTAACCAGCTTTCACAAGTTAACAGACTTTTAAGACGAATATTAGATACCTGAACTTTTCTTATGTTGATGCTCCTCTATTTTGCTTAACTCTTGTATGCACATCTACATTTCACAAAAATAAAACTACAGCATTAAACTTTGTGCAATGTTTAAGAAAATTCTTAGAACATTTTAATAAATATAAAAAAGGTTTAAATTCTTTCCCACCCACAAGGATGTCTGCACCTGAAAAAATGTGAATTACTTTTGAAGTCTTGTTTATATAAAATTAACTTAGAGGGAGAAAAATGACCTTAGATAGAAAACTGCCTTTTTGTGGTTTTACTACTTGAAGACCACCTGTCTTCAGAGTTGTTTGTAAAAGTTAATTTTAAGTCATTGAAGACAGTTGATTTTGCACATGGTAAACATAAGCTGAGCACTAATTGCATATAAAATATACAAATGCTCATTAAAGACAGTGGTATCATGACCATATATGGTTTGTTTCATATGGTTTGGTAACATTAAAGTTTAGCTTGTCAAGTGCCCCACACTGATATAAAACTACGTCATACACTTGTTCAAAGTGCCAGAAGGTACCAGATGGCCAGAGGGCAGAATACACTTACACATGTGTTTCAATGTACGAGTGAGTGTGTGTGAGAGAGGAAGTGATTGCATCTACTTCAGAAGAAATACTTAATGGGTCATTTGAGGTGGTGTTTTGACAGATATCCAAGAAAAGATCCAGGTACATCTGCTTCCATTGTTGGAATTCTTTAGATGTCAAGTCTGGATTGTCTAGGACTTTATCAATAATGGCTACTTCCCCTTCTCTGGCCTGAAAAGCAAAAAGAATTCAACAGTTAAGTTGGATATAGACTTTTTTCACGTTTAAAATAAAAAGTTAACATGCAAATCTTAAGAAGCCCATAACAAACGGCTCCGGTATAGTATGCTCAAACCCAGCTATTTAGATTAAAATCTTAGTGTACTTTTTTCTACACCCAAGGTACGCCTGTATTCTCCGCTCCGTGTGCTTCATTTCTCTGGGCCAGTCTTGTTTCCCATCTCTGTCTATGGAAACGTTCCTCATTCTTTAAGATCCAGTTCAAATGCCTACCATTTCTTAAAGCTCTCCATCAACAATTGAAAAAAAAAAATGTTTTCGCCCTCATTTATGTCGTCCTAACACTTTATCCCTGCCACTGAGTGGACTTACTACATACTCTGTCTTGAGTTACTTTTGCACGGTCCTATCTTTCCTGCTAGACGGTTAGCTCCTCATACTTGCACGAGAGGGAGCACGGCCCTCCTGTCACCACAAATATATAATTCTTGCTGTAGGAATGTCACGGCTCCCTTCCTGCAGCACTGGGGGTCTGCAATGCAAAGGAGCCCTCCCTTCTCTGCTGGAGGCCGGCTCTCAGCTGAAGAATGAGCTTCATTATGGGAGAACTCAACACAGCACAGCTGTCTCCTGTGGGAGAAGTGAGTCTTCCAGGTGGGAGGAGGGGGATGGAAGATGAGGGGGTAAGACAGTCTGAGAAGCTAAGGCCTGTCTTTTATGGGCTCAAAGAAGGGGCAGGGAAGTCTAGGGAATGTTCTGCAGGAAGTAGGAAGGGAGAGCTGGGTGGGAAAGACAGCAAGGTGCCTAAGCAATTGTTCTGGTCCTTGGGGCCAGATGGGGACAGCGGGGCTGGGGCCGAGGATGTTGGGAGTCGCCCTGTGCTCGGTGAGCAGCCTGTTACAATTCCAGGGACTACACACATCCAGGGTTGCTTGGGCAGTTATCCTTCCCTAATGCGAGATTCCCATCCTCTGTCAATTTCTCACACTAAAAAGTATAGGGCTCTGTAGTTCGGTTTTATCAACGAGGGGCATTTCTTTACAGTGACTTTTCATCATCTTTGCCCCAGAGAGTGGAGCGCAGCCTCACACCCCCGGTGATTCACAATACTCAGTGAACTGAACACTGGCAGGAGCTCAAATTCTTTGCTACTGGAAGTAAATGCTTTTGGGAATCTAGAGCATAAAAGACAGGTGTGAGGGGCTGAGAGAACAAGACAGAAGCAGGTCTTTAAATATATGTGAGCCTGACCAGCTTCAAAATGCCTGTCTGTTTTCACAACCAGACAGTTTGGATCTGAATGGGGTGGGGTGCTCTGTAAGGTGGGAAGGTGAGGTCATCTTTGGAGTAGGGCTGGTCAGCAGAAACATTCTTTTTTTTTTTAAGATTTTATTTATTTATGAGAGAGAGAGAGAGAACGAGGGTGAGAGCAGAGGGAGAGGGACAAGCAGACTCTGGGCTGAGTGCAGAGCCTGACACGGGGCTCGATTTCAGGACCCTGCGATCATGCCCTGAGCCAAAATCAAGAGTCGGATGCTTAACAGACTGAGCCACCCAGATGCCCCTAGCAGAATTATTCTTATGAATTTTAGAGCTCTTTTTAAGATTCTGGCCTTAGTTACCAAAAGACCATTAAGTTGTCCCATGGATTTGGAATAGTGCTTGCATGAATGCCAACTGAAAGCTAATGGACTCTGAAAACTTGGCTGCTTGCTACTGGAAACTCTTTTAAATCATGCATTTTCTGTTTTGTTTATCTCTTTGGTACTCATCAATGCTTCAAAATCACCAAACCTCAGCAGCACACTATGGATCTGAAATATTTCCCAAAGGAGCCCTTTGACCTTCTGGTTCCTGAAATTACTGCACCACATACTCTGTACGGTAGTTCTTTTCTGTTTTTGATTTTTCAAGGGTGGAAGGCCCGCTTAGGGAGAATTTGTATAACAGGCCCTCTCCCCTCAGACACACACAGTGAGGGGGTTCTGTGGTCTGCCTCCCTCTTCAACTTTCTGCCTCTCTGCGCCCCTCTCTTCACCATCTCCTCCCCAAACCAAGGGTGGCATAATAAGGAGACTGGAGGTAATGTAAGCACTTATGGAAATGTAGAATAAGAAAGTAACATGTGAGTTGGGAACTGATAGTGTAAACAGAACAATTATAAAATTTGTACACGGAACATGAATCACAGTGGCTTCACTCCAAATGTGCTGCAGGAGATATTCATGAAATATCTCAAAGCCTTTTAGGGCCCACTACTGCGTTCTGCATGCATGCTGTGTTCTTTTAATAACTATATTAATAACTACATGGCATATTTATCTTAGGAAAATGAAAGACGGAGGAATAACACCAGCCCCAAATTTTTGAAAATAATTTCAATTACATCCTGTTTTCACCTAGAACTAGGTCATATAACATTTAGCCAATGCTTTGAGATGGTAATGAAAAGTTAAGGTTATTTCCTCTTTACCAATGCACTTATAAGATGCTATAGGAACAGCTCAGCTTCAGGTTCTTCCTGTTTACTTGCCCTCCCCTCCACCTCCCCATTTTGTATTTCTTCATTTAGAGTATCTGGTAATCCACTGAGCTCAAGAATGAATCTCTTGAAAGGAATTTCTCCTTCCATTTTGTATCTTACCTTTAAAGTGCTTTTGAGAATTCTCAGCCTGTGTAGTTTGTCATTCATCACAGGGTCATTACATCTCTTTATAAATGATAGCTTGTATTCCATCTTGGTTGAAATGCGGTGTTCTCCCAGCGGTGACAGACTGGCTTGCTCCAATGCCCTGTATAAATCTTGCAATGAATCTCCTAACTTTTCTTCCCTACTTTCACCTGCAATGTCCAAAAAAAAAGAGAGAGAAATGAATCCAGTGTAATGGACAGTTCATGGACACTCCAAAAATCTACTAAAAAAAAAAAAATCCAAACCATCTGAAAAACAGGATAATGAATGATTGGGAAAACACTATATTACATTAAGAAAAACCCCACAGCTGCTAGTTATATTAGGTAAGATTTCTTTGAATGGTCAAATAATAAGATGTTTGATTAACAGAATATTCTCTTAATAGCAAATCGCCATACATATCTTGAGTCCATTAAATTCAAAGATAGAGTACAAAAGGTACACAACACAGAAACAATCCTGCACATAATATTTTAACACATTAATGAATACCCTTTATCATTATACTGAGAAGCAGAGAAGCACTGATTAATAGAGCTCTCTTGGTTTAGCAATATTCAATGAACTGATTTTTACATTGTTCCAGACTGCATAAGATGGAATGGCATTCACTGGAGTATATCTGATTATAAAAATCTTCCAATAATGTACCAGAGAGGATTATTAGGTTTCATGTGACTGCCATAGTAATGCCTGCCACCTTGTAAATCTAGTAAATGATCATAAATTATCATTAATAATAATGCTTTAATTAAAATGAAATATGAGAATGTTTATATGCAAATGTAAGGAAAAATCTGGCACATACTAACAGAAGCTACTTAGCATTTGTAAGATCTGGGAAGGAAATACTCCAATTAAATGTTTTTGAGAAAAAAAATTAGAGACTGGTTCAGTTAAGGATCTTAGATCTATTTGAATAAATCAAACTCCCATCTTGTTCTTTAATAGTCTGACTACTGATGTCATATCTTTCTCAATAATGATAAACAAAGATAAACTCGGATTTTGCTTGCTTTGAGTGGTAGATAGGATTAGGGCTATCTCAAGTTTCCTTTAACAGAGAGCCAAAGAGTACTATTTGAGGAATACTAATTATATTGGCTCAAGGAGTACACATGGAATGTTGTTCATTCCACCATGGTCCATGTGAATATTTCAGGCTTTCTGACATAGCTAAAAAAAAAAAAAAGACTCCCTAATTGCTAGTTGCTAATAACGGCAGTTAACATTTATATGTGCCAGGCAGAAGGGTAAATGATTAACATTCATGGTCTCTCTTAATTCTCACAATACTGAGAGGAGATCTATTTCATTTTCATTTTATAGCAGGGGAGAACCTTGCTCAAGGACATACTTAGTAAGTGTAAGTGGTGGAGCCAGAATTGCAGATGGGCAGTCTGGCTCCAGAATCCACGATTTTAACAAGAATTCCATACTGTCAATTTTGTCAGTGGTCATTTGAACTGTGTATGTAACAGTAGGCGTGGATGAATTTGTGAGAATTCCTTCAAGAGCAGCATTCTAAAAAACTGTTTGAGAGTGTAACTAAAACGGCCCCCAAAGCCCATAAACACAGTACCTTAACTTGAAAGGATCACCTTTAGCAGTAAAAAGTAGCTTCATTTCAGTTTCATATTCAATTTTTGGCGCTGCTGCGGAGGTTAGCAACTAATGGTCGGTAGGGTTATTGAGTCCTTCCATTAGAAAGTTCCTTGTTATCATCAGCACATGCTATCATTAATCCCTCTCTAACGAATTTTTAACTTCCTAATCAGATGCCTAAGTTAGAACTATAAACATAACAAAAATCCCTTTTAAACAACAGCTTTTTAATTCTCTGTTGGCTCGTCCTTGGATGTGGGCAACACCTAGAGGATTTTGAGGGACGGGTGAATGGAGGACTGTGAAAAGGAGGAACTGCTTTGGGGGTTAAGAGCAAGATCGAAATAGATGGGGAATTTTGACTGAGGATGGTTTGGAGCCAGGAAGGCACAAAATCATAAGGTCATTGAGAGTACCTAAATGGGAGTTGTAAAAACAAGGATACATTGGAAGAGCATAATTCCATTTCATACGTCACAGGCCAAGAAAAGACCCCGAGGAATTATTTGGTAGTCATCTCTCTTTGTGCCTCAGGGCAAGACTGCCTCTAAAGCCAGATGTAATCTCATAGAGCTGGGGGGAGGGCGGCGGTGGGTGGGTGGGAGGCCTAACTGATGTGTATTACCATGGTTAATGTATCAGGTGGCCTAATGCATTAGTAGCTTTTCAGTTCTTTTGAAAGAATGTGAAGAAAAAAAGGGATTCAGAATGTAGTTTTAGGATTTAAGGGAGGCAGAAATATTTTTATATTTTATATAGTAAATTTTTATTTTAAGATAACTACCTAATACTGTAGGGAGTATATATTTTGTTTAAAAACATTCTTGCGCAGTTTTCTTTCTCCCCAGTTCTTAAAGTTTGTGGAATCCTGGGCCAGGGGACTGTCTTTTTTGTAAAATTTCAATGTGGTCCTATTTTTTTTTTTAAAGATTTTATTTATTTATTTGACAGAGAGAGACATAGCGAGAGCAGGAACACAAGCAGGGGGAGTGGGAGAGGGAGAAGCAGGCTTCCTGCTGAGCAGGGAGCCCGATGTGGGACTCGATCCCAGGACCCTGGGATCATGACCTGAGCCGAAGGCAGACGCTTAACGACTGAGCCACCCAGGCGCCCAATGTGGTCCTATTTTAAGAAGGATAAATAAAGACTTAATATTAAAAAGTGACACACACAGCTATTAAATAAATACAAATGGAACTCTTTTCCCCCTCCTTGCCGTTAAAGGACAACATAATTCTGCGAAGACTCTGGTTTGACAGCTGTTAAGAAGAATTCAGTATAGATTTATCTCTGGGCAGCACATTTGAACAAGGATTCACAATGGGACGGAACACAGAAACATTTCCAAGCATATTAATGGAATAGTGTGGCTCCTACTAGAGATAAGTAAGGCTCCCTTCCCCCCAGTCCATACACATCATACACATATGCAACACCACAGGACACAGTAGTGGGATGAGAAAGGATGAGGGATTGAGATGCCAGGCTACCACAAAATGCCACCAATTACTTAACATTTTAAGACTGGACAAGGAGTCCTTTTATTTCCAAAGGACGGGGGTGAGGAGCAAAGTGACATTATAAATCTGATTCACTGTGCTCAACAGTCAAAACAACACAGAACTCAACATTCAAGACAAAAACAGACCTTTATTTTCTTTTATAATTTTCAATTGGTTTCCTTGATTTTTTTTCTAAGAATACCAATTAAGTCAACTGGGGCTACTGTTGCAACTGAGAATATGAAAGCACCTTTATTTTCTTCTCTTTTTGCCCTCTTCTTCTTCTTCTTCGTCTCCTCACTTCTCTTCTGGTTTCTCTTTTTTAAACTTCGGCTCTTCTTCCTCTAGAAGAGGCTTGCTTTGGAAGATGAGGCAAGCAGTTTTCGAGTTCGGCTTCCCAATTGACTTTCCTTCAATATACCAGTTCAGCCATTTGGAGCACTGGCAATTTGCAATTTGAAAGAACGTTTTCTGAAAGTTGGCAAAGTGTAGAAGACCACATGCGAACCACAGGACGTATATAGGAACCTTCTGCAATTCCTAATGAGGATGTATCGCTGCTACAGTGAAATTTTAATTTGTATCCAGTTTACTCAGGAATTCTGGGTCTGTGGAGGAAGAAATTCCCTCCCAAATTTTATTTATGTTTACAATGTGTAAATTAGTCCTGTATCAGATGACAAACTCTTCCAATTTTATTAAAGCAAAGTGAACATACAAAGTTGTCTTTCCGATATAAAATTTCATTGGCTGATAATCTGAGGATCACAGTGAAGTTACTGATGGATCAACTTGTATTCTGCGTTGTGAGGTGGGGGGGGTCATTTCTGGCTGTGTCCTACTTGGCAGGGGTGAAAGAAGACCCTCTATTGTCTCATTTCTACTCTAACTACACTATGGAATATGGTGACTCTAGGAATGTGGTATCACAACGATTTACTGTCCGGTTGTTTCAGGTTGCCCATGACTTCCGGGTGGTGATAAAAAAAAAAGCTCAAGGAAAAACATTAGCTAACGCAAAATAATACGTAGGTTGTTGAAACTTTCTGGCAAATGGCTTATTAGCAGATGATAATGCCTCTCTCAGATACTAAAAGGTCTTTGGTTGACGTATTCCCCTACATTCATGCTCGGTGGTTTCCAAACTTTTTTGATTGTGCCTCTTTACCAGTTAAAACACTTCCATTGTTGTTAACTTACATACATGTGTTATTGTATATTAATAGATATGCATGTTATAAAACAGACACAGAAAATAAATTCGAAAGGACGAGTTATAAAACCTGAGGAGAAATTCCAATGTTTTTTCCTCCTGTACCTAATGGCCCCATATGTACTGAGACCGTGACTGTGACTCTCCCTGGGCAGAGTACGCCTCCCTCTCATTTGCATTTCCCACTCTTCTCCCAGGCACCAATGTTTCAAGTGAGTGATGGTTTCCTCTACTTTATACATGAAGTACTCCAAAGAGGGCTCCCTATTCTGTGACTGTGTAATTGTTATGACAGTTTATTGTGTGATTTCGTTCAGGTTTCTTTGGTGAACATGAAGGAGAGCAGAATATGAATTTGGAGACCTAAAATTTCCTTCTGGTGCCCTCCCCGTCTCCCTGCCTCTGCAATGACAATGTTGAAGGAGAGGAGCACATGAAAACCAAACAGAACGCGATGCGTATACCAACGGGGACTCTTGAAGAAGCAAGCCAACAACGGATAACCGTTTCTGGGACATGTTTTGGAAGGGAACTGTGCTCTTTTTAAAATTGGACAATGATGTCCTCGTGGAAACAGTTGTTCCTTCCACAACACAGCTGGGTCACGAGCACAGAAGGCTGGGAAAAGCTAAGTCACAAGTGGGAGAGAAGGCTGGACATAGTAGCATTAGTCACCGGTCAGATGTGAGAGGCATCTGTTCTCGCGCAGCCGCAGAGTGCTCGGAGGCTCCCAGGCTGAGGGCGTCAGGTTGGTGGAGCGCTGTTCTTGTCAGGAAGGGCAATTAACACTTGCATTGAGACACGGGACTGGTTTCCGTGAATACTA